CCCTATGTGTCCTTGGGAGTCAAGACAGACACCAGTCAGTCTGCACTAGACTGGGAAATTTCTCGTGCAGCCGTGACCCTTGCAGATAAGCAGACCATCATATCTTCATAGTCTAGCCATTCCCAAGGAGAAAGAATGCTGCTTTTGCCATCTTAATTATTCATGATTGCTCTTTTCCTGCCATTTCCATTTAGGTGGAGATGTCTATTTCTCTTCCTCTCTTTGTTGTGATTTCATAAATATGCAAACTTCTGTTTGGATTTTGAACTCTTTGCCCTGGTTTAGGGTTTCATATGCATGTTCATTTCTCTTGCAATAAATCTAGTTGCAATGCAATGCAATTCATGGACTTGTGATATTGTTTTTGATTAATAGTCCTCAGACTACAGGCTAGGACCCTACACAAGATTCTTACTCTAATGCCTCCTTGTGGTATGCAGGTAACCCCAGCTTATTCAAGGCTATGCCAGTGGAACATAAGCCCTGACATATTCTACTAATTCAATTTGATAAGCATTTATTGAGTACCTAGGTGTCAGGCACACATACTAGGCACTACACTATGAACTGGGGATATAAAACCAAAATTACATGGACACAGTTTTCTATGTATGCACATACAAAACATAAACAGAGTGAGTACAAGGTAATTGGGGTGGGGAGCACTAACAATTGAGAAAATCAAGAAAGGCCTCTATGAATTTAGGGATTCTATAAGGCAGGGTCATGCCTGCCCTCTAAATAGAAGGCAGCGGATAGAGCACCAGCCCTGAAGTCAGGAGGACCTGAGTTCAAATCTGGCCTCAGATCAAACACTTGACACTTACTAGCTGTGTGACCCTGGGCAAGTCACTTAATCCTAATTGCCTAAAAATAAAAATAAATAAATAAATAGAAGGGACAGTCTATGCAATGGTACTGAGGTGGGAAATGAAATGTCATGTAGACCATTTTGGCTATAACATAGACTATGTTGAGAAGCAGCAACATGCAATCAGCATTGAAAGATGGATTGGATGGAAAGGCTTCACAACTCTGATCAATGAAGTGACCAACCAAAATTTAAACTGATGATAAAACATGCCTCCTGTCTCTCCTCAAGAAAGATGGTGAACTAGAAGAGTAGAATGAGACCTTTTTCATATTTCACCAATGTGTTGATTTTTTTGCTTGACTCTGCTTAATTATTATAAGAGAGGGTTGGGGGTAGGAGATTAATGGGACATGGCAGGGATGTAAAAAAAGAAAAAAATATCAGTAAAACACTTTAAAAATGCTTTAAAAAGTTCATTTGGTTGCATTCATGTTCAATATCATTTATAGTAAATCCTTTGAAAAAAGAAAGATAAGTTGAAAACATTTTATGAAGGGCTTTAAAATGACAGATGGAGCAATTAGTCTTTAATCTTGCTGTTTTTCCTTTGTTCTCAAAGAATTTATATAGTGCCTACTATGTGTCAAGTATTTTTAAAAATACTATTTCATTTGATCCTCACAACAATCCAGTGAGGTAGGTGCTATTATCTCCATTTCACAGTTGAGAAAACAGATGCAGACAAGGTTCAGTGCCTTGTCCAAGGTCATACAGGTAGTAAATACATGAGGCTGGATTTGAATTCAGTTCTTTCTGACTCTAGGCCCAGCACTCCATTCAGTACACCATCAGCTGTATCACCAACTGCCTGGGTTAAATAGTACGATCAGTTTCGTGATTCATTGAATATTGCCATACTGCTCACCTATATGTTTGTAGTACCATCAATAATGTATTAGAATGCTTATTTTCCTGCAACCTCCACCTTTGGCTTTTATCTTATAAATATATGTAACAGCAGTGCAGGCTAGATATGAACTTGGTGAATACCTCAAGTGACACAAGGCAATGCAGTATCAATAGCAGCAAACACCTGGCTCATTTCCTATTTTCTACAAGTTTACAGAAAAACAGGCTGTTGATTAAATAACTAATTAATCCACAAGTGAATGTAATATATAATTTGGCCTCCAAGTGACATCTCCTGAAGCCACAAACCAAGTAGTTTTGTCTGACAGGGTCTAGTACTTGGCTTTCCCAAAGGCTGTTGTATCCTCACTGTTCCTCAGAGGATGCTGGCTTACAAGTTTTTGGTTTACTCCCTACACTTCAGAAATAACAAGGCTTGTGGTACAACAGTGCTGGCCCCAATTTAGTATACATCTAGGAGAACAGGAAGCAAAGGGGCAGGGAATGGGCTCTGAATGATTAAAATGATAAAAACCTTATAAAATCTCTAGTTCCATCTTATGTTTGGGAGATATTCTTTAATCCAACCAACTACATTTATAATACAAAGGAAATCCACAATGTGGTCACACATGTTTTGTTATACAAAGAAAATGATTAAGATGCTTCTTAAGAGTTACTCTGTAAAGTGATTGATTAATCCTTCAAACCACACTCATCACTCCTGGGGTATGGTGTCGACCTGAAAGTTGGTTAAAGAGACAACAAACTAGGTGGTAAGTAAATCCATAGTTTATTCCCTTAAGTTAGCGCATGTACATGGAGCCAGAGTTTTAACTCTGACTGAATCAAGCAATTTTAGGAGGACATTTAAACCCTGAATCAGGAAGCCTGTGTTTCTCAAAAAAAAATAAATAAATAAAAAATATATATATATATATATATATATATATATATATATATAGCCTCCATGTGTTTTTTAACATATAGCATGAAAAAGGAAGTTTCTTAGTTGAATAGGTTGTAAATACAATAAAACAGGAGAATGTCAAAGTGTCAATTGAAATTATAGATCCAGGATATCTGTGTTTCCCCTACACATGTCCATAGGATATGAAGATAAGAAAAGTCCCACTATTCAACAGAGTGTCTGGTCTCAGGTATCCTGTCCTTAGTGATCACAAACAGGAGGAATGATGGTCAGTTTCACCTAATCCTGTAGTTGCTGACACAGGACGGGGTATTTTTAGTTCATTCAGAGAAAAAAGATTAATTCAGGTTTTTGGTCCTTATTGGGGTTCAATTGATCTTAAATCTTAAGATTAATTAAATTGATCAATGGGAAGAAAGAGTAAGGGAAGGAGTTACATGTTTTGTACTTTGGATTTAGGGAGAAATGTCCTGTTTCTCATTGTTCCTCCTTGCTCTACAATTGATGGGGTATGGGCCCAAGCCGAGACCTTCGCCCCTCACTGCAAAAGGAATTTGGGTCCCACTGGTCTATAGGCCCCAGAAAATCCTTAAACTTTCTTTGACCTCACTTTGGTCTCAGACAGTTGTCTGAGGCTATACTCCTCTCAATTGGCCTTTCCTTAATCTCTTATTCTGATCTCTCCCTATCTCTTTAAGAAGCCTAGTCTTTGATCCCACCTTAGATCTTATCAATCTCTTCCTTCCAGTTCTTTGTCCCATTGTCTATTCAACCTCCCAGACATTCCCATCAGAATTCTCCCTAAACTCACCCCAGCTTCAGGATCTTTCTCCCAGCCCCTCCTCTCAACACCCAAAATTATTTGAGTGTATATAAGATCCACCCTGGCCCTCATTTAAATGCTGAGATTTCCTCATGCCTGCTGGTCTTTATAGGCATCACTAATGCTCAGATTCCTTAAGAGTCTGGTCTGTATGGCCCATCTCTAATAAAACTGTCTCTGGCTGAAAGAAGATTTGGGTCAAATTCATTCGGTCAGGGCCTGCTGTGCTGTGATTTTGGGGTCCCAGAACCCCAAGAACATAGACCTCATCACAATAGCAGGCCATTGGCCTGAAATTTTGCATATTGCTCTGATCTGGCTCTCAGCTCTGACTGGTCCTAGTAATAGCAGATAGTGCCTCAGATACAACAGTGGCAGCAATAATGGAGCTGTGCTGTCCCCCCACTGCTCCTTGCCTAGCCCCATTTCATTTTAAATTTAACAAAGAGGTAAACTGAGGCAAATCTCCACTTCGATATCATTTATTATAAGGGGGCATATGACCTGATAATGGTTAAGTCTAATGACCCTGCTTCTGGCCAAGAGACCTCAAAATGAGGGTGCAATACATTTTTATAAGGATAGAACAAAGAACAGATGAAAGCTCATTATTGGTTGCATCAAAAAAAGTGGACATCGCCCCCATATATCATGAGGACCATCTTTCATTATCTCTAAGGAATACATTTGTAAATTTATGGTCTGTGCTACTCCCTGAGGTCCCCTGATAATTACTGGTGACTGGCAAATTTGGTAAGTTGGGACAAGGTCAAGTTGTCCCAGCCATGTTGTTCTAGCTTCTTGGGAATACCTCCACAAACCTTGCAGGGAATACTGAGACAATGTTTTATGGGAATATTGAGAACAGTTTTGTTGTTTTTTAAACTAATAGCCATTGTATCCTTGGTATCTAACATCAGAGAGAGGGAGGTTTGGACTTTAGCACACCTAGGTTTTGCCACCCAAACCCTTTGAGAAGAGGCTTTACATTTCACAGAATTGCTACATTACAAAATCTAATATTAAATATAGGATCAATAAATAATTTCCTTAGCCCACAGCTGTTCTCTGGGGGGCTTGAACAGACACGCTGCTGAGAAAGAATGACAGGTTAACCCTATAGAAACACTTAAATGGAATATTGGATTAGCAGTTTTTCTTTAGAAAAACTCCCCCAAAGTCAAGAGAAAAGGGCCAAGTTGCATATCTGTGTGCCTTATCATCTGACCTCCTGCTCAATCTCATTCCTATTTCAAACTTGTACTCAGGCTATCATTGTAGAAAATACGTGTGTGAGTGTGTATCATAGAGCTATTATATACATATATACACATACATGTATGGCATTCTAGTGAGTATTAGGTAGTATTTTAAGCTTATCTTGGCTTACAGTTCTGATGAATAGTTTGAGCATCTTTAAACATTATTGGGGCAGCTAGGTGATGCGGTGGATAGAGTACCGGCCCTGAAGTCAGAAGGACCCAAGTTCAAATCTGGCCTCAGACCAAACACTTGACACTTACTAGCTGTGTGAATCTGGGCAAGTCACTTAACCCCAATTGCCTGAAAAAAACAAAAAACAAAAAAACAAAAACCATTATTAATAGTTTGTGTTTCCTCCATAACTTACTTGTGTTTCTTGACCATTAAGGAGTGTGTATTATGTCTAATAATGATCAATTACCTATTTGCTACAAATATTTTCCCTCATAGGTTCATTTCTTTGTATTCTAAAAGATACTTTTTATTGTGCAAAACCATAGAATGTCAACCTGAAGAGATTATCTGGTCTAACCCTTTTGTTTTGCGGATGAGGAAACCGAGCTCAAGAGGCTTTATGTTGTCTGCCTGAGGTTATAGAAAGCCAGGGGTCCTTATTTTCAGTCCCACAGATGCTCTTACCACCACAACATGCCACTTCTAAATTTTAGAATTTCTCCATTCCCTTAATATGCCTAATAGCAAAGATTTTGCTTCAGTAATCTAATTTTCTACTCCTGAATACCACAAAACTCAATTTGTTGAAATTGATGCGGTTTTACTGTACTTGACTGGATGGGTAGTATATGAAGTCAGCAAAATTCAAATTCTACAGATAAAAATCTCTGGAAATCAATGAAGCAGAGTCAGATGAATATCACACTCAATATAGGATTTCAGTGGTGAGGTGCATGTGAAAAGCAGATTCTAAGTTCAAACCCAAATACATGAAAAATAAAAATTTAGGCAAAATAATTTTATGGGATCAGTTCCATAGTAATAGAGCTGACACGGACTGCAGCATTGTTACAAAGGATGTGGTTGTAGACTTTCTAGTACAGAAGAGAAATTCAGTTCATTTGTTCCCCAATATCTCTTATATTTTCAATCTCTCCAGGTATAGTAGAGACTCTCACTAGAGATAGGAGAGAAAATATTATTTTGTGTCTACAGCTAGAGGCCTAGCCAACCTGCCCAGGGATAATCTGAAATAGCCCCTTGGAAGAAAGATGGGACAGGCAGGCCACATGCCTAGGAATGCTATATTAACAACCTGGAAGCACATGTTGGGGTTGGCCCTGAGGTACTTAACCAGCTAGAATGAAGTACAGCTTGTGGATGGAAAACCACTTGTCAGGGTTGTTGTTCAGAGGGGATTTCTGTTTAAGGGAAGGGTTAAACTAGAGGACGTTTCAAACTCAGAATCTGTGATTTTATGAAAATGCCAGTCCACCTCCTCTCTGCCAGGTTTTACTATTCTTTAGAAATGACTGAGCTCCTATTTGTGGAATCTAAGAGCTTCCCCAGATTCGAGTTCAAGGGAATTGATAGGAAAAAGCTGCCCCCAAAGAACTAATTCCAGATCCTCTAAGTACAATAGATCTAGGTGTCTCCTAGAAGACACCTTTCAGAAGATGCTCCCATTTATCCAGACCCCAATTTAATAAACCATCTATTAAGCACCTACTGTGCTAAATGCTAGGGATATGACAAAAAAAATCAATCCCTGCCTTTAAAGTGCTTATAAGCTATTTAATAGGGGCACCCTGCTTGGAGGTCATAAGGACCCAATCCTTCACTATTGAGATCCTTTCTGGACACTTTAGGGTTACCTAATCAGCATATCAAGACTCAAGCCCCATGTCCCCTTATCATGAACTAACAGTATTCCCTTCACAACAGCTTCAATGGAAATAATTTAGTATTAGACACTGGCTATGCCAAAACCCCACAAGAGGGCCAAAATGGTTCCCATATAAATTCCCATATATGACCAAATCTCTGCCACTCTCCACTGTAAGATGACCAATCCTGACTTGCTGTTTCTGATCACAAATACATGCTGAATAAACCTCGCTTGCATTACCTACTTCCCATATCCACAGTTCTTGCCACTTCCTTAGCATCTCATAGAAATTCCTTTAGATACGCCTAATTTCTGCCACTGTGTCAAGATGTAAGCTTATGAACTTTGAACAAGGGATCTGAAACTCCCACAAGACACACCTATACCATACACTATAAGGAAGGATGCTTGTTTCTAAAATCAAATCTCTGAAACTCATATCCTTTTGTTCCAGTTCCCCTCCTAGATGGAACATATGCAAATAAGCACTAAATAAAGTGGACTGTGGAAAGGGCAAAGAAGAGATTTGGATTGGGGATTGGGAGGAGATAGGGATGGTCCAAATCCCCCTTTTGAGTTATTTTCTTGGGGGAGGGGCTGCAGTCTTCCAAAACATTTGTGTAAGTTCACAGACAGCTACAGTAGATAACTTGAAGGAGGGAATGCTCCTATAATATTTCCCACTTTACTTACTCATACCTTATAGAACCCTTCTTCCTCTCCTCATATACACACTTATGTAATAACCCTTCCCTCCATAACTTATTATTTCATCCGTCCCCTTTCAGCTCTATTATCTATTGGACAAAACACCAGATCTATACAGCTCTCCCTGCTAGCCCTGGCTTGAGTCATAGCAAAGTAAGTTTATAGGTGGTACATCTATCCCCTCTTCAGCAATGGAGGTCATACTCTTTCATTTGCTTTCCTTTCAGTGTTTCTCTTTTAATTAAATGTGCTTCTCTTTATGTTACTTATCATTCTACCTCCTATTATACTCACGGACTTGTCTTAGCCTTTCATAGATTGTAAGCTCTTCAAGGGCAGCCATGCACCTCACTTAACTTCAATTCCCATATTCAATGTTTTTTGAATGAATAAATGTATAATTTGTGAATTAGGATGGACAAATCATTAGAACCCTTTGGCTTAAGTTTCCTTATCTTTAAAGGAAGGTAAATAGCTGCCCTGCCTGCCACATAGGGTTACTGTGAGGATCGAAAGAAATAATATAAAAGTACTTTGTTAAGTGCTATAGAAAAAGTGGAAATTAAGGGAGGGGATGTTGTTGCCAGGAAGCCAGACTCAGATTCCCCAATTCCTTAAAATGAAGCAACTTTGTCCCTGCCCGCTCCCCCCGTTTTTGTTTCCCTATAGTTGATGCTGCTTCACTGGGGTTAGCTAGGCGGCCCAATGGACAGAGGATGGAGCTTACAGTCAAAAAGACCTCAGTTAATCCTGATTCAGACATTTTACTAGCTTACCATGGGTAAGCTACTTAACCTCTTTCAATCTCAGGTTCCTCATGGCCTCTAAGGTCCATTCCAGCTTTAAATCTATGATCCTATGTTTGAGTCAATTTACCAAGCACTGGAGACAAACTCTCTATTGAGCACTTAATTTGCAAGTTGGTAACATAATTTGCATTGGGACAATGTCTGCAAAAACAATGCCCATTACAAGGCATATTCAGAGGATGTAGCCAGAGATGGCTTTTCTAAGGGTAGGTCCTTAGGGAGGATCCCACCTGTGGAGGTACAGATCTGGGATTAAGGTCATCCAATGAATTACAGCCTAACTCTCAGGAGAATAGGGCTGGCCCTGGCGTAGAGGCTGCAGGAAATAGGATAAATAAAAGAATCTCTGATATAGCTGATGTGAAAAAAAAGCTCTTACACTCTCAATACTTCAGAGAGCCAAGTAATTTCACAGTATTCACTTTCTATTAGTTTGTTGTCTCTTCCATTTACATTGTTGCAGTGACTATGTATATTGTTTTGCTGACTCTATATCACTTGGAATAGAAATTGTAATGACCAGCTTGACCTCAAAGAATAGAGATGAGAAGACCCTTCCCTCCCTTCTTTTTTGGTATGGAGGGGGACTATGAGTGTGGAACACTGCATGTCAGAGTTTAAAAAAATTGTCATAGTTTTGTGGTACCATTTCCCCCCACTTTTCTTTCTTTGTTATAAAGGATGAACGCTTGGGGAAAGGGAGGAGAGATATATTGGGAAAATATAGGCAATATGAAGACAAATAATAGTTACATTTTTAAGATTTGGCCCCAAAGAAGAATTGAGAAAATGTATCTTTCTCCTTTCCTTTGTGGGGGGTGGGGTGGGTACTATGGGTGTGAATATTGTATATTTGTCACAGCTAGTTGATGTGTTAGTTGATTTTGTTGAACTGCTTTTCCCCCTCCTTTTTCATCTTTATTTTTTATTACAAAGAATGGATTTCTGGGTAAAGGAGTGAGGAACAATTTCATTGGAAATTAAGGAGATTGAAAACAAAAGATATCAACAAACATTATTATGACGGTCTGAATGAATACGATAAATGATCCTACCTTTAAAGAACTGAGAAGGGGCTTTTGTCAGCTTCTCAACTCCAGGAGCAGATTTTCCTGTTTGGGTCCTTTGAGTTAGGTAACAGGAATCCATGATGTATAACAGAAAGCAGCTTTCTTCTCTCAAACTATAAAGATTTACTTCCTGACTGTACTTCATCTTTCTTCTTTCCTCACCTGCTGAGTAAAAATAGGGTGCTAGGGGAGACTTCTAAGAGCTGATGCAAAGGTTAGAATCTGCCTTACAATTTGTGAATTCTGTATCTAGTAGTACAAATCCTTCATTTTACACATGAGGAAACCGAAGCCCATAGTTATCAGTACACACCTTTAAAAGTTACCTTTCTACATTTCACTTTGAGGCTAGGCTTCTTCCCAGGGTCTAGCAGAGTGCCTGACCTATAGCAGGTGCTTAATAAATGCTTATTGTTTGCTTCTCTATCTTTCAAATAAAATCTGATCAAAATTAGGCAATCTCTCCTAATGAAAGAAGATACTGCTTTGCTTCCCTGCGCTGAAAAAAATTTTTTTTCAAAGGCATGCTGTAGTCTATTGTATGTATAGGGAGAAGATTCTCAGTTGCACAGCATGAGCACAGTGACCTCACTGGATAATATGAGTACTATTTTAAATTTCCCATTTACCTCCAAGACTTTTGGATTAACTTCCTAGGATCCCTGGGATTATACTTGGTGGCTCTTAGTTTGGGTTGAAAAGCCACGTTGGAAGGTATGGAAGCTCTGTGGGAATTTGCTGGGTTAGAGCTTATTCAAGAAAGTTCTCAGGATCCTCTGAAATACAGGTTCCTCCAACATAACACTACATTTATGACCTGATGTGGCTTTGACAACCTTTAAAAGAGAAATTGTTTGGTACCTTGCTTTTTAGGTAAAAGCACTATCAAATCCCAGAAAGAATTCATGCAGATGCTTGCCAGATGTGGACAATGATATATACACTTTAGGACAAAACAGGGTCAATATCTACCAACTCAAATAATACACCAAATGGGCTTTTCTCATGTTTCACTGAGACGCTTTTTAATAATACCATTCATAGATTTTATTTACTGTTAAAGTAAAAATGTAAAACTTTTCCTAGTACGAAAATACTTAAAAAAAAGCAAATTCAAATGATTTAATAAAAATGTTTATATATTAAAAACTCTTCTTTAATATCTTTTCTCTCCAACCCCATCCAGACTCTTATTTCATTGTTTGCCTTGTATCCCAGGAAAGCATTAAAAAGAGCAAGAAATGTTTCTTGATACATCTACTTGTTTAAAAGACTTACAAAAAAGGGAAGAAAATTGAAAATAGCACCCTTAAAATTATTCCTTAGCACTAACACTCGGGATTACTTTACAGTTACTAGAATAAGAAAAAAAGTCAATGCTCAGACTATATATATGCTGGCCTATACAGCCCCCTAGTGGTTGGAGGAAATGAAGGCACCATTCAGAACAGGGGAAATTGAATTCTGGAAGCCCAAAGAGGTTGAGAAATGCTTTCCCCCAACCCAAATTGCTATATTCTTTGCTTGCTGAAATACGATCTATCCTGAAGGCTCAGCTCAAATCAATCATTTGATGAGATTACAGCGACAGCATAGTAACTCGCTTCCAAAAATAGTAAAAGTCCCGTAACACTACAAAGCTGGTCACAAGCTGGACTCGGGCACTCTTTTTTTCTGGCCCAAGGCAATAGTGTGGTATTTCACTCTTTGAAAGGCGCCACTGGAAGCCTGTCCCTCAGGAATACCCCTGCGCGGCGGGTGGGAGATACTAGCTCTCTGGAGCCAGTTGATTTGTCGGGGGAGCCTGAAGGAGCTACAGACTTGGCCAACATCTTTTTCTAAGAGGTTCACCTCCTCCTTTGTCAGGTTTCCTCTGAGCTGGCTGTGATTGCCCTGTTCTTTATCTGTACTGCTCCATTTGCTATTCAGTGAGGAGATGAGGGAAGAACTGATGCAAATCTCTGAACTGTTATCCTTCTCCTTGGGCTCTTTCTTCAAAACAAAGGATCTGAGAAGGGCAAATTTCCTTTGCTGGAGCTGTTCTGACTCAGGACTTTTCCCCTGTGTTTTGGCCCCAAATCTGGCTGAGACTCTGTGGTTATTATCTCTATTTGTTCCAGAGAAATTTATGCCATTCATAGAATCCTTGGGACATGGTGAACTTCTACTCATATGGTTGTTCCCATTGCAGTTTGGTTTGTTTACGCTGCTCTTTGCCCGAGTCAGCCCTTCAGTCCCGGCTGATTTTGCCACAGTCAGAGGAACATCAAGCTTTGGGGGAAGCCTCATCTCTTGACTCAGGTTTTCTTTTGGTTTCTTTGTTCTTGTTAGAGTATCAATATTGCTAGTAGTCCGGCACTGTTTCTTATGATTACTAGAAGGACTTGTCATAGTAGTCTGTACCTTCCCATCTGCCCTCTTGCTATCCCCTTCATCATTTGTGGGAGCTGTTGAATTTGATTGTGTTGATGCTGATATAACTGCCTCCTTAGGAGCACCAGTTATCTTCATCGGAACGATGGACCGATTAGTGCACTTGGGTCTTCGTCCAGATTCTAAATATTCTACCAACTCAACCGAGTAATGTTTTGTTCTGTCTTTGACTCCCAAAGACCACCTAAGGGGCATGGTCTTGAAAGTCCCATGCTGGATTTTTTTAGAAGTGGCAGGCTCCTTCATGCTGGCGTTTCTGCCTTGAATGCCTTGCACAAAAGGCTTTGACTCAGACTTTCCTGAAAAGAGAGCGACAGGGTTATTAGTGCCCAAACCACATTCCAGAATCATTAAGAGTAATTGTTTAGTCATCTATTTCCTTTCAACTTTCCTCAGTATTTAGTACAATGCTCTGCTGTCAGCATATTATTGTTGACTGACAACAACTGGAATGGAATGCATTCTTCGAAATTCTTTAGTATTTCAACAAGTCACAAGGCAGGCCAGTACCAGGGAACTTTTTAACAATCTCTGGCATCTGCCAGCCCTGATTTAGTCTGTCTTCTCCAGAGGCATCTGCCCCCTACTTTTATCATCTCTAAACTGCTTACTTTAGCTTGAATTTTCATTAACACTGTGGAAGGTCTCAAGTCACTTAACATCTGTTGGCCTCAGTGTCTTCATCTGTGAAATGAGGATGATAATAACAGCATCTACCTCCCAGGGATGTGGTAAGCACATAATGAGATTATAATTGTAAAGTGTTTAGCACAGTGCCTGGCACATAGTAAATGCTATATAAATGTTAGCTATTGCAATTATTATTGTTGGTGTTATCAGTTTGGTATATCAAGCAACTAAATTTGGTCAACTATGCTTGTAGAAGTTATTAGAATAATCATACTCTCTGACTCAATAATTCCACTGGTGGGCATATACCTGAGTTAGATTTGGTTTTGTTGCTTTTTATTTATATTTTTTTTATTTTTCACTATTCAAAGACAGCAAAATATTATGTATAACTGGAAAAAAATGACAGATACCTAAATATGCTCAACAAAAGAGGCATAGTTAAATATTGTGATCCATTAATGTAATGAAATATTACAAAACAATTAAAATCAACAGGTAAAGTGAATATAAAGAAATCTAGAAATATACCAAAAAACAAAGAATGAAAAAGTAGAATCAGAAGACCAGAATTAATGCTAAAAGAGGAAAAGTGAATGAGTATAAATGAACAAAAATTCTGATGGAGCATTAAAGGAAGGAGTTAAAATGTTGTCCCATTTTAGGCATTTGAAATTAATTTAAGTGTAAGTACATCTGAAGTGTAAATATTTCATATTTAAATTCCAATATTGATCAGCTGGCAGAGAATGTGAACAATACACTAAGTAGACTGGGAGGTGGGAAGGCAAGAGAGGAGATCCCTGGGAGGAAAAAAACAAATCTTAACAATAAATATTTTCAACAGATAATCTTTATAAAACCTTTGTCACTTCTTACAACCACCTCAATCTAAAAATTGAATATAGCTAGTTTTTACATGACCCTAGACTGGTAAGAATAGTGGATTATTCTTTTAAATTACATAAGTTAGTTTCAGGAGCCTCCCATGTTGCTGCATAATTATCTAGACTCAGCATATTAAGAAGTAGCTGAGCTACTGCACTGAGCCACAGAAACCAGCATTAGCTTTCCGGTACTCACTGTGGATCATTTACTTGTATTACAACTCATGCAAATTGTTCACTTGATGCCTCCCTCCCCTCCTGAAAGCTACTTATTATATTTCTCTGTCTTCTTACTTTGAGTGGGCAAAAAGTCAGAAATATGTTAATATAATTTGAGAGGTTTTTTTTTTTAAATCATGACGTTATTAGTATAAATGAGATATTTTGATGCTAGATGCCTGAATGCTATCTAATAGCTTATAATTTTGTCTCAGTCCTCAAAATGAAAAGAGCACAATGTTGAGCCCATTCACCTAACAAATATTTTAAACCAAAAACTGAAATGAGTATTGCATTTAACATTTAATATTTAGTACGCAAATTCTAATCAGGCTGTGATGTATAAATTCCTAAGTGATGTGTCCTTGATAACACACTCCGTTCCTTTGTGGTCTCTGACAGAAACCGCTGGAGAACAATGAACTAATTGCTAAGACTGTATTTATTGGAGACATAAAATATTTAAAAAGAACAAGAAAAACATTTTAATATGTAAATGTTTCCAGAGAAACAGTATCTCGTTGAACACGCAACTGGGAAATTTCCTTGGGATTGTTTAAGCTTTTGTCTAGTCGGCAGCTCTAACAATAAAGTATATTAGAAATTTAATCTCAAAACTTTTAGTTCTAGAAAATTTTTTTAACTGAAGCCCAGAAAAGGAAAGTGGCTTTGTCTAGAGTTACACATCAAGTCAGTGGCAGCCACTTTTAATGTAATAATGGCTTATATCTGCAAAGCATTTTAACCTTCACAAATTTCTTCAATATTTATTATTTCATATGTAGTGCAATAGCTTGGTGGGCCTAATCTGATAAAGACTGGTCTAAGTGTTCAATAAATAATATTGTTTATTGCCAAGAAATAAATTATAATATCTCTTGATGACAAATTGATCCAAAGCCTGGAACTGCATACAAACCACAGGAGGGTTCAACATTCTAAGTTACAAGAAGTTGGGTGAGTTAGCAAGGAGTATTTTAAATAATATATATATAGGATTAGACTTGGAATAAGATTCCAACAGTTAAAGGATGGATGAGAAAAGAACAATTTGAAGTCTAAAGTTTTCTTTTTTTTTTTTTAACTTGCTCCAGTCTTTATTTATGTTGTTTAAGTTCAGATACATTACTAAAGGCATTTTGATATAACACCATGAAGAGGAAGAGTTCGGCTTGAACAGAGAGCCTATTCTGAATCTTAGAAAATTACTGTAACAAGCCTTAGAATCAAGGTTCCTAAATTACAGATTTTAGAAATGTTTTTCTTCAAGGAAGGAAGCGAAGCTTGTCAAGCACTGTGCTAAGCACTTTACAAATATTTCTCATTTAATCCTAAAAAGAATCTTGTGAGGTAGGTGCTATATCATTATTTCCATTTTGTAGCTGAGGACTTGAGGCCCAGCACTCTATACACAGTACCACTTAGCTGACTTATGGAAGAAAAAAACTTTTAAAAGACTAATTATGCAAACCTAAAATTAGGAAGTAATAGCAAGATCATAAGCATGAGAAAAATCATTTACACATACAGAGATAACATTAGTAATTTTATCAAAAACAATTAAAACAGACCTTTTTCCTGTTTGGTAGGGGCTTCTGAGAAGACAGGAGAATCGGGCATTTTAGAAAGGGAGTCAAAATTTGCAGAACTCCAAGATGCAAGGCTTTTCCTCTGACTGCTATTGTTACTCCTAAGCCTTATCAGCCAGTGATCAGACAAAGAAGAGCTCATGGAACCTATAAAGGAAAACACAGACATGGCAGGTAGAAGCTCAGCACCTTGAGCAAGAACCTATGCAATCTGGGAGGGGTATCAAGGCAGCAAATAAAATACCAGGAGGAAGGAATAAAATGAATCATCATTTTTCTTGGAAACATCATTTATTTGGTCTTGGGAGTCAATAAGGCAGGTATTCAAGTCCTGTCTCATACATCATGCCCATGTTACAATGGGCAAATCACTCCTTTTTTTTTTTTAAATTTTTGTTTTGAATTCCAAATTCTCTCCTTCCTTCCAGGCTCTTCCCAACCCATTGAGAAGGCAAGCAATACAATATAGCCATTGTATATGTGAAGTCAGGCAAAACATATTTCAGTATTAGCTACGTTGCAAAAAGAGAAAAAAAAAGGAAAAGAAAAAGAAAGCAGCAACAAGAAACACTTAACCTTTCAGTGCTCCAGAAAACACCTGAAGACTATAAATTACATATGTATAAGTACACAATCTGCTTCACTGGAAAGATTTTTCACATCAGGAGTCTTATACACTAATGAAATGATAGATTCACATCTATCTTTCCATTCCCTCATCCCCTTAAAAAAAATGCTCCACTGTATGAATATCTAGTACCTAGGTTCTGCAATATAAAGTTGGCAATATTTTGATTAATATTTTCAGAATAAAGCATATTCTTAAATTCATCCTCATATGCTAATGAGTAGCAAAAAGTTTTACATACACCTGCTGATCTTCAGTCTTTTAGTCACATCAGACTCTTTGTGACCCCGTTGACCATAATATGCCAATGCTGTCCATAAGGTTTTCTTGCCAAAGATACTGGAGTAGTTTGCCATTTCCTTCTCCAGTGGAGTAAATCAAACAGAGGTCAAGTGACTACCCAGGATCACATAGCTAGTAAATGTCTGAAGTCAAATTTGAACTTGGATCTATCCACGGAGCTATCTAGCTGCCTCCATTTATCACCAATTCAGGTGTTAAACCCTGAATTTTCTAAAATTCATAGGAATAAAAAAATCTCAGAGGCTACTTAATCCAATTTGTTCCTAAATATGAGTCCCTTCTACAACTTATCCAACAAAGGGTCACATAGCATGTGCATGAAGACTCATAGGAAGGAGCAGCCCACTAACTCCCAAGACAATTCCATTGGATTGCTTAAGTGCTCCAATTATTATGTTTTTCCTTACATCAAACCTAAATTTTCATATTTATAACTTCTATCCATTGATAGAAGAGATCCAACATGTTAGCTATTTCTCCTAGCTTTTTGTCACTTCAACAACATCCATGAGGCAATTTACCAGAGACATCCAACCAAATTGGTATTAATGACTCTTTTCTTCAGGTCTGTCTTTTCAGCTAGTACTGAATCTCCCTCCCTTTACTAGTAACTGGCTCACATGTCTCCATCTTGTCCACAAGGAGAGCAAATGTGACAGTATCAAATGCTTTGCTAAAAAAGTAAAATATAGCTACAAAATTCCTCTGATCAGGCAATTCAGCAGACTTGTCTAAAAAGGAAATGAGTTTAACTTGCCAAGACCTGTTATTGAAGACATCATGCTGGCAGTTTGTAACTCCTACTTCCTTTTTTAGATATTCAGAGAATCATTAGTATCAATGGACTTAGAGTTAGAATGTACAGTAGAGGCTATCTAATTCAAATCTCTCATCTTACAAATGAGGAAATTGAGACACAGAGAGGTTAAGTGATTTGCCCAAGGTCACACAGGTAGTAAGTGACAAAGCTAGGGTTCAGACCAGGCCTTCTGACTCCCAAAATGGCATCTTTTCCACTACAACATACTGCATCACTAACCACCTCTTTATCTATACAGTCTAAAATTCAGGGGTTGGGGACAAAAAATTGAAGATATGCTATCTAAAGTTTGGAGACTCTATTTTCTCTTGAAAATTGGTACATTTCTGTAGTCCTCTGGCATTGTTCATATTCTCTATGGTCTTTCAAAGAGGACTGAGAGTAGCTCAGTCAGTTCTTTTAGTACCTGGGTTCTTTGGGACCTGGCGACGTATCTTCCTTTTCTCATTTGCCCCAGACTCTCAACTGATGAGATAAGCATGAGGTACCATTAAATTTGTGGTCAAAATGCCAGTCAAAATCCCATGCCACATTTTTGATCTTGGGCAAATCACCTCCCTTCTCTGGGCTTCAGTTACCTCAGCTATAAAAGGAGGGGGCTGGACTAAATGATTTCTAAGGTCCTTTCTAGGTGTAAATCTTATGGCTTTCTTTCTTGCAAAAATTGTTCTTCAACTCCTTAACATGTTTTACTTTGTTTTTAGTCAGATTGTTTCTGTCTTCTGGTGTTGAATATTCCCATTGCACCCTACCTTGATGTCCCTATTCCAAGGTGGCATGTCAACTGGAGCTGACATTTTTGGAACCCCAGCTCAACCCAAGGGTAAAAATCTAGTCTTAGGAGATTAAGAAGATGGAAGGGTGGAGCCAGTTGGGTAGGGGGCCCTCTGCTTGACCTCCTTTTCCTGGGCCATGCTCTTAGGTATTCCCTCAGCATTTATCCATGAAGACAAAGCCTGGGATAGAAATCAAATTACCTACTGAAGCCTCTGGCTTTCAAATAGGCTCAAAGAAGGCTGACAACCAGTGCTGACAGACACAATGGCTTAGGTAGCATGGGGTTGCACCTTACCCTACAAATGAGATTGAGAGCCACCAACCTACACTCTTTAGGGTTCTTTCAGCATCTTTCTATGCTTCCTTCTTCAGATCTTTCCTCTGTATAGGTGTACTACTTTAGGAAGAGAACAAGAATGAACTGGGAGGATCATTTTTTCTCCCTATACCCTCTTGTAGATAGCTACAGTACCTCTCATTGAGTTGCTGGCTGACCAGTCAGGAATGATGTTCCTTTTCTGATAAAATAGAATGTAGGCTCCTCGGGTGCTGACCTCATCTTCTAAAATGGGTTCTACCGTGCTGTCATCGTAGCTATACCACTGGCCATCCAGTGAGTTTCTGCAGTAGGCTGCAAAGTACAAAACCCCAAGTCTCAATTATTGTTGCTTTTAGAAGCAGAAAGGACTTTTCCACCTACACAAGGCAAAGGGGAACTGTAATTCTCATGAGAAAAGAAAATTAGTCCATGTCAGACTTCAAATCTGAACTTAGTATGAGAAAAAAAAATAATTAAGTTCTATTCTGTCATTTTTAGAAATCCATGTATAATTTGGTATATTATGATCATTCTTATAGTCACCCTCATTCTGGAAGCTTTTAGTCTTACTTTTTCGGCAAGCTGCCCCAGAATCCTATTCTGATGCCTCATAGCACAATATATAGAGAATAGTGGGCTCTAAGAATATTATGCTAGACTTCTAAGCCATTTGACCAGTAAAATGGCCCTTTTATCAAACTACCTTAACCCTCTCAAAAGGGAATTATGTGCCTAGAAGTAGAGTAATTACAGCTATATTCACGAGTGGGGAAACGGCACTTCTTCAGTTAAGTAAAATCTCTGAATTAACATAGTGCTAATTCAGCATCCTTCCCCTACCAGTATTTACATCATAAGCACAAAGCACCATGTGATTTCCCCATTGCTTCTAAGACTCTGACAGAACATACCCTTGCCTTCTGCCATGGTACAAAAGCGGTAGATGCTGATTCAGTTCAGTTAAGATGGAAAGGAGAGTCAAGGGAAGAATTTGGTAGGGGTCTAGTGGAGGCCAAAAGGAAAGGGTACTGAAACTCAGTTGGAGCCAGTTCCGTCACAATGAGAGAGGACTCAGGGCAGGGACCTAGATCTGCTCACATATCATATATCCCTGAGTTAGAGGAGAATGAGGCAGCTTTGAGGGCATACCCATTAGAAAAAGAGATGACCCCAAAATACAAGAAAAGGTTAAAATACCAAAGATAATTTTAAGAGAAAAATCTCCAATAAAAGTCCAAAGCACATAGTTAAATCAACAGAGAAAATTCTAATGCCACAAAGATGAGTATAAAGAATATACAAAGCTATTTTAACAAATATTATAATTCAAAAGAAGGAAAACCAGTATCTGTTGAAGTGCAGAGCATCCTATGGACTTCCTAAAAGATCATGGGACAATAATGAAAGACTACAAAATAGTTAAAGAGAGAAATGAAAAACATAAAAGGAGAAATTAAGAATAAAGATGTTAGAACTTAAGGTTCTCAATGCAGAATGTAAAAATTCAATTAGCAGATTAAAAAAGAAAACGGATCCACAATGGAAACTCTCTAAGGAAAAGAGAAATTAGTAGATTTGAAACAAAAATAGAAGAAAATCTGGCAGAAGAGAAGTAAAAAGCAATGATAAAAGAACACATGAATTTTAAACAAACCAAAGTGACTAACTTTGAAGATAAGATGTGCAAAGGTAACTTAAGAGTCATAGGTTTCCCAGAAGAACATAAGAAATCAAAAAAATGTGAATACTGTATAGCAGGAAATAATACAAGAAAATCACCCAGAACTCTTGAATACAATAATAAAGCATCACTCAGAGATGAGGCCAGAAGAATGCAAGCTTCAGAAGGTTACAGTCAATCAGTCAGTCAACATGCTTTTATGAAATACTTACTTTGTACTAGGTACTATATTAGTACTAGGGATACAGAGAAAGAAGAGGTGCCTGTTCTCAAGGAGCTCACATACTAATGGATGAAACAACATGAAACTAGGTATATTTAGGATACAGAGTGGCTAGAAGATAATCTCAGAGAGGAAGACACTGTCAGGTGAGGGCACTGCGAAAAGTCTCTTACTAAAGGTGGGATTTGAGCTGTCTTGAAGGAAGCCAGGGAAATTAAGAGGTGGAGATGAGGAGGGAGGGCATTCCAGGCATGAGAGAGAACCAGTGCAACATAGACAGGAAATGTAGTGTCATCTTCAAAGAATGCTTCAAATCACTAAAATTAAGAAACATGAAAATTAAATAAACTCTAAAATTGTACCTTACACCCATCATATTGGAAAGATGACAAAAATGGAAAATGACAATTGCTGGGATAAGAGTACTATTGAACTATGGGCACACCTATGTACTTTTGTTTGAGCTACAAAGTGGTACAGCAATTCTGGAAAGCAATTTGGAACTATACCCCAAATGTCACTAAACTGTACATACTCTTTGATAAGCACTACCCTCTCTAGACCTTTACCTCCATAATGTCAAAGACAGAGGGAAAGGACCCATATGTACAAAGTACTCAAACACTCTTTTTAGTAAAGAAATGGAAACAGTTTGTTTATATCCCCAGTATCTAGCACAGAGCATGGCTCATAGTAGGCACTTAATAAATTCTTGTTCATTGATTTATTGAAACAAAGTAAGTGCCTTTCATTTGGAGGGTATTTGAACAAATTATGACATCTGACTGCAATAAAATAGCATTGTGGCATAAACAAGAATGACAGGGACAGATTTTTGGGAAAACCCATATGAAGTAACAGAGTAAAGTCAGCAGAAACATGGCAATGGTTTAATATGAGTATAATAATTTTATAAAGGAAAACTCTGAAAGACTTATGAATTCTGACCAATGTAGTGACTAATGATGATTTCAAAAGAATAATAATAAATTATGCTTCTCACTTCTTGACAGAGAGATGATGGAGAGAAGGCACAGAATGAAATAGATTTTCAGACAAAATGAAAGTATGAATTTGTTTCACTTGACCATACTTTTTTGTCATAAGAGAGAGCTTTTATTTGGGGGGAGGAGGGAGCTGTGGGAAGGAATAAAGGGAGTTGTGAAGGGAGTGGTGAGAGAAATGCCAAAAACAAAAAGGTGTCAGTGAAACATTTTTTAAAATGCATGGAAGACAGCAGAATAAAATTCAGACAAACAGGGCAGTATTGGTACTACTATGTGAAATTCAAGATCCATATTTTTAAAAATTTACATGTAATAGTCACAGTTTTATATACAATCTTTTCCATTTTTGGGGGGTACATGCTAATATTCATTTTTGTTAATGTCCATCAAGATCAGATTAAAAATAAAGGGACAATTTTTGAAAAATCAAAAAGAATGCTTGGGAAGAGACCTCACTAAACAAAATCATTCTGATTTAAGGACGAAGCTAGAAAGATCTCACCGAAAGATGGAAATAGTTCTACAAAGATTATAATAACAAACTCTTTTGACTCTAAACAACACTTGGATACTATCACATTACAGGTCCAAATGAGCTCAGAGAGACAGAAATGAAACAAAAAAAGAACGAAGAAGTAGGGGAAAGGAGCTGGATGAGATTAAGCATACATAAAGGAGATCTGTAGTGGAAGCAAAATAAGTGTGGGGGTGCTGAGGGACTGACTGACAACCTACCTAAAGGAGAAGGAAAATAGCAAAGGAATGGGAAAAATCTTAGATCTTATTAATGAAATCAGGCAACTGAAAGAATCATCAACTACTAATTTATGTGCCTACTTTCCTCTCTGAATAAAATTTTTACAAGAATAATTTGCAAATGTATCAAGGGCATTTCTGATTAGGTTATTGTTAGGCTTTCACAGGATTTTATATGTGTATGTATATGTATATGTGTGTATATATATCCCAATAAACCATATCTTTACCATCATCCAACTGATAGTATAGAAAATATAAGATCTTATTGTGTTTACTGTTTGTTGACAATGAAAAAGACAATTAATTTGTATTTTTCCCATAACAGGTACAAGCTCCTTGAGGGTAGGGACCCTTTTATTTTTGTTTTGGTATCCTTAATACCTATGACAGTGCCCATCACATAGTACAAACTGAATGGTTATTGACTGGCTGACAGACCAAAACGCTACATCAAGGACATCAACAAGACCTCTCTCATGCATCCAATAAAATTATGCACAATTCCATCAGATTCAAAAGAGATGATCTTCTTTCATGACTCTCTTAATATCAGGCAAAACAAAAATAGGGAGATAGATGTTTTCTAAAGGTATTAAACATTCTTGGAGGAGATACATAATATAGTACAAGTTGAAGATGGATTCCCTATAGATGGTGAGGTCTTCCTGTTTTGTCTTTTTTCCTGCTTTTAGTTAAGATTATGCTGGATACATCAAGTTCCAGAACACTGAAGTGTTCTTCATGAGATCTGTAACCACTCAAGAGTTTGACTTAACTATTCAAACAGGAAAGTTCAAGTGAATGAAGTTCTCTAGATTTTCTAGATAGTGATGTGCAATGAGATGAACAATTTACAGAGTTCCTCCATCAGTAACTGCAACTTGGGCACCATAAACTGACAAATGGATCTAAAATTAAACAAGAGGAAGACAGAAGTTGTACCGCCCAGGCAAAATTGCCAAGCCACTTTAATGACGTCAGACCTTTCCTTGAAAAGAAGGTCATCTTTTAGTACCGGTATTCTGCAAATGTTATTAAACGGCTGAGAGTCATAGAATACTATAGCAGCCAATGAATTGAAATCAGGTGCCACACAGAGAACAACAGAGAGGTGCACGGTGAGTGTGGGCAAAGTATAACACATGACAAATAAGAAATGATGAAGTAGAATAAAGAACATTTTCAAAGAAACATATGATTGAAAAAGAAAATGGGGCAAGAGCAAGGGATAACGAATGGATATCTATGTGTTCCACTGGTATCCTCATGGTGTCATGAGAGATCACAGAAAATCTTAAATATATTCTCCCAATTGGTATAGGGAGACATGGATAAGAATCTCATAGTATGAACAGGTATAAATGAGGTGTAAATCTGAATCACCGTAAGGTACATAAACAGCAGTGAGATCACAGATACATTTGAGCATTGTGTATTTGGATATTTGCAGTAAAATTTTTGAGAAATATTATTTGATAATAATATGGATAATAATCTCATCCTCCTGAGAAGCTCAAAGTACTTCAGAATTCATGCTTGTGGGAGAGTCAGTACCTCAGGTGAAAGTGAAAATCATGGCATTTTGTAGACAACTTCTTAAATTTCTTCTCTGAGTTTACTGTTACTCTTTGAAAGCAGTGAAGTTAATTTTAAGGGAAAGAAGTGATTGACAATCTACTTGAATTTTCCTTTATTCAACCCTTTAACTTCTGTGAAAGTTTTCTACCTATTACATTACTTTAATTTTCTTATTATTTTAAAAGTCACAGTTAAGACTGCAAGTTATTTAGTTTCCAACTAAAAACTGCAGCCTTGAGAGAGGGGAAGGAAAAGATAAGTATTAAGTGGCTACTATGTGCCAGGCACTGTGCTAAGAACTTTATAAATATTATCTCATTTGATCTACACAAGAACCCTGGGAGGTAGGTTCTATTATTATCTCCTAAAACTGAGGCAAATAGCAGGTAAGTGATTTGTCTAGCGTCAAACTGATTGTAAGTGCCTGAGGCTAAATTTGAACTCAGATCTTCCCAACACCAGGTCAAAGCCCTCTATCCACTATGCTACCTAGCTGCCTCTTTGACTCAAAGATCTTTACATAGAAGAGATGAAATGGGTCCTACACATCAACAACAACAACAACAACAACAACAAAATCTCAAAAGCAATTCTCATTAGGGAAAAATCAGGAATAGGGTAAATTCAGTTCTCTTGGATCTTCAAAGTTGGCCAATTACTATATGAGGGAGAAACTTGGCCTGAGGAAAGTTTATTCTGAATCTATAACTGACAATGTAATCCTGAGTTCCTCTATTCTATGGCATTGGTCAAATTTCTTCTCTCTCTTCACTCAAGTTCCTGCAGGTAAGATTAGTTGTGCTCAGCTGAGGACGCCAGAATTTCTGAAGTCATTTATATAAACAAGATCGAATGAGATTAATATATGTAAAGGGTTTTAAAAATCTTAAAGCATTATATAAATTCTAGCTATTATTATTATTAAGTACCAAGATGACTATGGAATGTCTTTTTCTTCCCTATGGAATTAGATGCTCAGAAGGGATCAACAAAAAAAGCATTTATGCAAATACAAGCAAATACAAATAGAAAAAAGAGAGCAACTGGCTTTCAAGGAGTTTACACTATAATTGAGAAGACAACACACAAAAGAGGTTTCAATGGCAAGTCAGATAGAAAGGTCCTTAGGGTGCAGCACCAAAAGAGATGGTAACACATCTTTTTAAATGTTATTTGCATTTACAAAATAATTTCTGTTCCTCATGTTAAATCATCATACAGTACCACAGACAACAGCAGAACCAAATCTAAAGGCTCCTAGCTATGCAAATGAGCACCCAAGAAATACACAGTAAGAATTCAACCTTGGGAATGGCTCACCTGTATAATGCCCACCTTGCATACTGCCATGGTGGTTACAGACAGCATACAAGTCATACAAGGAGTCAAGTGAGCAGCTATTAGGCAGGCAAGATGCCTGTTGCCAAGATGGCCAAGAGTTCAGCAGGTGCTCTTGGTCAAGATTCCTTTTGGCTACGTGGGGAGCCATGTTGAGGCCAAAGAGAGGAAACTTCACCAGAGTAGAGAGCTTGTTTCTTCTCTCCCCAACTTGGCAGAATCGTTTGAGATGAATTATGAGAATGTCAGGCAATGTCCACAAACTTAGTTTCACCATCCCCTGCTGGAGAATCTTGCAGTGGGGACATTTCCATGCATCATCTGGAGCCAACTGGAAAAAGAAAATTGTTTTGCATATATTTTTAATTTTAATCTCAGTAACCAACAATGAAATATTCAAATAGTCAAAAATCTTTTAAGGGAGATCACATATAATACCATAAACTCTAAATTACTTACATTTTGAAGGGCTTGTTAACTTTGTTTCATGTGCTGAAACTGCACTGGTGTCCATGAAATAGTAAGAAACCCAGAGCAAGGCCTTTAGCACTCTGGGCAGAGCCCCTATAGAGACTTATGGGAAGGCATGGCCAAGAAGCACAACAGTGGAGAAGGTGTAGATGAGTTAATATCTGTACCACTAGAGGGAGGACCCACATCCCTGAGAGCACTAATCCATTCAAGTACTCTTAACAAAATAATTTTCTGAAAATTCTATTTGCTTCCATATTCCCTTCTTACCTGTTTCACTTTTGCATATTCACCTGCCCCCACCAGTTTTATTTCTGTTATTATTTTTCTTCTTAGGAAAAATAAATTATTATAATAGTGGGGTTCCTATTGGCAATGTCAACTTCAATGAAGGCTATTTACTTCTGCATAGCTCAGTGGGTAGCAAATATCACACCCAATAAAACACAAAGAACTTTCCTGTACCTGGCCTAGTAGTGTATTTCAGGAAAATCTTTTCTCTAATAAGCCCTCATAGAGGGTCTAGATATGAGTTGCTTGGCAAATACCTGTTCCTCCTTAGTATAGAGCTGAAAGCACTCATTTAGGGTACAGCTGGGTTGCTGATGGGCCTGCTGTTGGAGCTGAACACTTGTGGCATCCTGGACTACTTCCTCCCGAATATTTCCAAACAAGCTGTGAAGAGAGAGAGAGAGAGAAAGAGAAAGGAAGAGGGAGAGAGAGAGAGGGAAAGAAAGAGAGAAAGGAAAAGAGAAAGAGAAAGGGAGAGACAGAGACAGAGAGAGGTCAAAAGCTACCCAGGTTAGATCTTAAGATTTTTCCTCAGCAACAGGTTTCTATAATCTCAACAATTTTTTGGTGATTAGTCCTTTTCAAAATCAAGACTGATGTCCATTCTCACTAGGGTTCCTTAAAAGGATAGACTTTATTTATTTGTTTACTTTTGTCATACACCTGTGATTTCATTAGTAGAGGGAACTCCCATGTGGGAAACTCCCTTCACCAATGCAGAGAAGCAACTTTTCTGCAAATTATTGTTCTTTTGAAGGCACCAAGAAGTTAAGTGACTTGGCCAAATAGTATATGACTTGAACTCACCACATCTTCCTAAATCTAAAACTGTCTCTTTTTCTCCACACCACACTGAGTAGAATATGGAATATAGAAATATTTATTTTTGTTACAGATACACACCACTTAACACTTCTATTTGGAAGCAGAATTGAGAACAAGGTAAACTGAGTCTCTTCTCCTCTCTGGGATGATCTTCCTTGGAAATAAATGTTTTAAACTCACAGCTCTTTGGTGGTTTTATCCCATTCTACTGCCAGCTTGATATGTGGGGGACCTCCTGGTTTGCTGAACTTCAAAGACCTAGGAAGAGAATAAAAGGCAGTGAAATCCATGACAGAACCACAGCAAGTAATTTTTCACTCCCATATCTCAGTTTATTTCAGCAGTTCATCCAACCTAGTACCACCCTTCAAATCAAGTACATATGCTTAAGAGCTACTTAAGACCCTCACTCCCTTAGGGTTCCTAGTAAGTTAGACGGTGTTTATTAATGTTATTATTAATAGCCAACATTTATATAGTGCTTTAAGATTTGTAAAACACTTTACAAACTTTAGCTCATTTTATTTTGAAAAGAAACCTGGGAACTTAAACCTAGGTTTTTGCTGGCTGCAAGTCTAATGCTTTTTTTCACTACACCACAGTCTAAAATCTAAGACCTTTGCACTTACAGTATATCAGCACATCTGGGTTCAAGCCCTGATTTCTGCAATTACTAGCTATATGACCTCAGGCAAATTAATTAGCCTTTCTGAGCTCTTATGAAGTACAAATGAGGCAAAGTAAAAGTAATCCTGGAAGTCTATTAAAATCCTCCTTTTTAGTTTGACTGAAGCTATTAAGAAATATTTCTTGAGCTTAAAATCATTTCTAGACTTTTCTAAGAAGGTATATAGGAGGTCAAGAACAAAACACTAACACTTTGGGTAAATTTCATCATTCTTCTTAGGAAAAACAAAAAAGCCTATGTACTTATTAAAATAGGGTGGTAACCAAACATGGAACAAAAAATACCTTGACTACTAAGATCATTGATTGTCTTTCTCATTCCAATAGAATTTGACATATTGATCACAGGAAGGAAGTCTTTTTAATATCTGGAGAGAAGTGGTCAAGAAAGGAAGAGTTCCAGTAGTTATATAAGATTAAGTGATCACTGTTCTAGAATGTTACCCCAAAACTATCTTTTAATATAGTGTGACCTTTTCCACATTCAAGATTCCTATAAATGTTACCTAAAATGGTAACATTTTGAGAAAAGAGGTATCTGAGAGCTATGTTGTTTTGGACATTTTCTCTCTGGGCTAACAATACTTTGATTTAGAATGTCAAATTTTAAAAAATATTTCTGGTAAACTTGTGCCTAAGATGCAGAATACAGTATTCATATTTTTCTTTGACATGATATAAATATAAGCTACTATTGTTATGCCTAGCCCATCCCCAATACCTTTTCAAAAAGGCTAAATAAGATGTCTGCTACAAAATGTCAGTCAGCTTCCCTGCTACATATATATGTATATATATATACACACATACATATATGTACACACACACACACACACACACACACACACACACACACACACACACACACAC